ATCCAATGAGTGGTTGTTTAGATATCAGTGGAACAATCATGGAACAGCTAAAAATCAGCTAATTAACATGCAAATTAGGTAATTAATTTGCACGGATTTTTACCAAAAACTAATCAAATCTGCGCATATGTTCAGAGCATCTATGTACCAAGTTTCATCAAAATCCAATGAGTGGTTCTTTAGATATCAGTGGAACAGTCATAGAACAGCTAAAAATTAGCTAATTATCATGCAAATTAGGTAATTAACGAGCATGGATTTTTACCAAAACCTAATCAAATCTGCGCATTGGCCCAGAGCATCTATGCACCAAGTTTCATCAAAATGCAATGAGTGGTTGTTTAGATATCAGTGGAACAATCATGGAACAGCTAAAAATCAGCTAATTAACATGCAAATTAGGTAATTAATTTGCACGGATTTTTACCAAAAACTAATCAAATCTGCGCATATGTTCAGAGCATCTATGTACCAAGTTTCATCAAAATCCAATGAGTGGTTCTTTAGATATCAGTGGAACAGTCATAGAACAGCTAAAAATTAGCTAATTATCATGCAAATTAGGTAATTAACGAGCATGGATTTTTACCAAAACCTAATCAAATCTGCGCATTGGCCCAGAGCATCTATGCACCAAGTTTCATCAAAAACCGATGTATGGTTCTTGAGATAGCAGTGGAACAGTCGGACACACATACACACATACACACACACACACAGACACACTAACTGCAAAGACTCCCATTATGTGCTTCGCACATGGGAGTCAAAAACTATGGTCAGCCATCTGATTGAAACATTAAACCACTGCATGTGCATATGTCCCAGATAAAGTACTAGACACGTGCAAAGAATGAACAGATTTGGTCCATAGGGATTCTAAAATACGACTCAGGACAGAAACCAAATGATGAGACCCTGTTTCGAATTTCAATCATCAGGGACTAATAATAATAACGTGGAATGTCATCCAATGTTATATAAGGTATGAAGAAATAATTTTACCAATACATAGAGGCCAGTAAAAAAATGCAAATTTTGACCAATTTCCATTAAATTTCAGAATCTTGTTTTTAGTTTCTCAAAAAGTTTTTCAGCGACCCTATTTTTTCAGTATTCTGAAGGCATTACACAATGAAATACAGAAAATGTTTTATTTCCAATTGAACCAAAAATTTGAACCCGGAATGTTAGTTGTAAATTTTCTCTGCTAATATTTTACCTTTCACAGTCATCTGTTAGCCCTGCGTACAGTGCTGTGTGTACGGGGACGCGTTTGGTTGACAGATGTCCCCACCACAGCCCTGCGTACCTCCATAGACAAAGTCCGGGAGCGCACCGTAATTGGTGCGCAAGTTAAAAATAAGTAGTTTCCCAGCCAAAATCTTTTGAAATGACGATAGTTATCCGTAACAACCATTACAAAGTTATCTGAAACTGAAATGTTTTTAAATAACAACTAGTAAAGACGGTCAAATTGTAAACGCGTAGGTACCGGAGGAATTATCCACCAAACGCCGCCATTTTTTATTTCATTCACACGAGAATGCGTTTGTTTTTAGGGCAAAGTAGCAGATTTCATCCACAATTGGACTCCGAACTGGGAGTTCTGGATATATCTGGTAATCGATCATCATTTTGGGTAACTGGTCATGTTATTTCATTAAAAAAGTTATATTTTTCAAAGTCCCGGACTTTGTCTATGGAAGTTCGCAGGGTGGGGACATCTATCAACGGAACGCGTCTCTGTACACACAGCACTGTACGCAGGGCTAAGTCATCTGTATAATATTATATATATATATATATATATATAATACATGTATTACATGTATATAGTGCAGGCTGATCGACCGGAAACAAATATTAGTGATTAATGACATATGCTTGCTTTACATTACCAAACTGTATTAATTATAATTTTGAGCAACGATATGGTCCTGTACCCGGACATACATATAATCGTTCCGCCCCATAGACGTCCATGTAATGACACGAATAGATCGTCAGGCCCCTGTGTTTATAGCAGGACTATTCGAAGCCTTTCCCTTGTTCAATAGTATAACAATGTTGTGACTATGCGATCAACTACGAAGAAAGAAATAACTCGACCGGTAATATTAACCGACTACAAAGAAACGAGGGAAGCAGCAGAACTGCAGTTAGTGAGCGAACTTGGATAAAAACGTGGAAATCAAGACGATGCCTCAAACCACTCAAACTCAGTACAGTTGGTCCGAATAAGACCTTATAACTTCTTTCTACATATTTGTTACTATGTGTGCTACCTCTTGCACAACTGAGTGTAAATTTTTTAGAGACAGTCGCAAGTACTTACGCTTCAACGTGCCAACAACCTCTACAAAAGGCCTCGACCACATTTTCAACACGTTGGTCGCCATATTCGAACCGAAAACAAACGAAGATACACGAGAGTTAACGATGTTTAAAAATACGCGGCGCGGTGACATGCTGTGACCGTCTATGCACAATTGCATTAGCGCAAATCGCACGGGACTACACTTGATCAATTGTAACCCAGAAATCCCAACTGGTAACTATCTTTGTGATTTTCTTTGTGTATTTGCGGTGTTAACCACTTTTGAAAGAGCGTAGAACCTTTGACCCAGAGGCACTTAATTGACCTACCTGTATCACGTGACAGAATCACCGTCATCTTGGGAGAGGTCACGCAGAAATGTACTATTCACGAAAAGTGGCGATCAGCAGACGACGCGAAAGATGACAAAAGGGGCCGATGCTGTTTTTCTCTTTCACACAGAATCACGGTAGATCACTTAGAAATGTTGTTGATATGGTTTTTAGTGATCTCGTGTTCAGGTGAGCTTTGGTATTTAAAATATTTCTGTGTTTATATCAATCGGGTGCAACAGTAGTATTAGACTATATTATTGTTAGTGAAAACATACTTCTCCGTACATTGCACTGCGAACATTATTTTTGGTATCTTCTTTTAATTGCCAGCAGCAGATTGCAGGCATTCGTTACTAGGAATAACATTTCTTTCAACATTTTTGTGTCTTCGTCAAATATATAAAAACAAAGTCACGACCAGACGTCCTTTGATTTAAAAATGTTGAACTTTCAAGAATGACCGAATGACATTGAACAAACATCTCACTGCCACCCGCGTTGTTTTTTTGTTCGTCACGCCTGTATTTCTAATTCATTTCCAAATTCCCAAAAAGTATTTTGATCGTAAAATAATAATATTTACATCAAAAACTATCAATCGATTACTTGATTCACAATATTGAGTATGTCACATCATATTGTTACTGAATTATTTAAAAAACATAAATTCAAAACTCCATACATACAATGTAATTCAAAACCATTTTGCTAAGTACCATTATATATAGCTTTATTATACTTATTATAAGACTAAAAATATGTTTTACAATTCCATTCTATTCTATTTTATTTTCCTGATCCAGGCTCTGTCTTGTTTATTCAAATTATAACCTGCTTCTATCCTAACACAACCAAACAAATAATATACAAATAATTGTTGTATGCCACCTCTATCCTTTCATACAAGTACACCTGCACATGCCAACAAATGACAGGTGTTCACAGAAAATCAAAAAGAGTACTAAACTAGAATATTGTATCTGTTATTTTCAGTTCAGAGTTTGGTACTATTATCTGTTGGTTTAAATTTCATGTACATGTCTGCCATATGTGTCTGTTATGTGGACAATTTATTGGCTGCATTATTTCTGAATATAATATATAGAAACGGAGATCAGATATCATATTGAAATAAAGTGGGAAGAATTTGTTATGGCGACTTTCATCAAAATCCTATCTTTATGTTCTCTTTATAGTGTGTAGGTTTTGATTTAACAATGTGTAATTGTTTTCATCATGTACAGTCCTGCATTTATATTTAAATTAATAAATTCAAACTTATAACAATAACACTTTGCAGAGCATCCACAATTTTTATAGTGAGGTGAATTTTAATAGTTAATGGGTTTGACATCCGATAATACCAACCTAAATAAATTATACCGGAAGGGTTGATTGGACAGCATTATTTTGCACTAGCTTGCTGATTTTTCAACCATCTACATGTAAACTCAAATCAGTAAAATAAGGCAGTTTCAAGTCTGTTGCCTATACATAATTGAAGGTAGATTATCTGACATTTTTATGCAACTGAATTTAGTCAATCTCATTTACTGCCTTCACCCTTTGCTAAACATAATAATTATTATAATCGTTTCAGAGTTGTATTGTTATTAATATTTGCTACATTAATTATTCACATATCATGCTTTTTATTGACTATGTTTGCATTAGTTTTAAAATTTATTGAATACCCCCAGTATAGTTGATTACTTGGTGAAAATTTGAGTTCAGTTGATGCAATTTGATTCATTTTCCCTGATTCATCCAAAATTGCATTTAACCCACATATTAAGTTACAGAGGAGTTTCATTAATTTTTTTTAACAGGCTGATTGTAATTTATGAAGAAGCTGTTTACTTTAATAACATTTTCCAAGCTTTGGTTGAACATCACACTCATCAGGAAACAAAGTCAGACTATATGTTAGAGGTTGTTTCATGAAGTACTGGACTTATTTTTGCTGATTTATACCTTCAGCATAAAAAAAAATAATTCTACAAATATTGTAACTTATATTTGGGTAGAGACTACTTTTTAAGCCAATTCTCTAAGTCAAGCCTACGTCACAAACTGTTCAAAATCTCCCAAACATCGCCAGCAACCAATCACAGACTAGCTTTCCCTGACGATAATACTTAGCAACGTTATTTCCCCTTGCTAACTTGAAAAATCTTTTGTTTTTGTCTCGTTTTCATTTCCGATCATCAATTATGTTGAGTAGAAGTGAGAACTGTACAGTTATTTATGCAGTTATGAACTGCATCTATTCAACAGTCATAGCTGTGGTGTTTTATATCATTTTACATACAATAGACTTTAATAAACTATACTGTCTATGGTGTTCCAGAATCCAAATACTTCTATTATCAGTTTATATTATGTAACACAATGTTAACACATCACAGATAAATATCCCCTTCGACAAGTCAATGCAAAAACCATACAAAATAAAAAAAAAGTTACCTTTCTTTGTCCCATATTTGGGGTGCTTTAAATTTATTGACAATTTGTTGACCCATTTTCTCAACCTCGCACTGGTTCAAATAACTTTTACCCACCGACTAAGTACAATTTGTGAATTGTTTATTTTTGTTAACGACCCCCATCAATACACTTAGTGTTCAACACTGTAGTCTTTGTAGCATGAATAGAAGTACCTCACTGAGAGGTCAAATGTCAACACCAGGCTATTTTTACCTTTAATAATAGTCGTTGCAAGAAGCGCTTCAACTTATCTATAATAACTATCAAACAGAGCCTGGCATTTCCCCCAACATCTGTTTGTTACATTCTATGCTTGTTGGACTTAATTTCAACTCTAAGCTGAATAAATTTGTCAGAATATAATTTCATAAACCATTT